TTTTTTTTCCTGATAAAATGGAAAAAAAAAACTTGAAATACTCAGTTGTTTTTGGCCATACAGATAAGAGTAAGGCATCATTTGAAACTGTAATTGGTCTACTTTTATCATTATTATTAATCACAATAACAACAAAATGTTGTGCATGTTGTAAAACAAAGGAAACAAACAGGACGTGCTTTCTGCCGTCTCGGTGTCCATGAACTTCTTTCTGAAATGCTTCACAAAAATCAACTGAAAGTCAGCGGAAACTTGCCACACGCATACGTCACATAGACATGTCTATAGAAAGCTTGAAATGTTTACAAAAGCAATTATTGACTGATTATGTATCCGTATGAAAACAACGAGAGGTGCCGTCATTTTAAGCAACTGCATCCTCGGCACACGCCATATTGTATCCGGCTCTTCTTCTTTCTGTTTACGGATGTTACTTGACCAATGAACTCAAACTGGCATTTCATTACTGACATTTTTTTAACCAAAAAATATGACATACTGCAGCTTTAAATGATTAGTTCACTTCTAGAATTAAACTTTCCTGATAATTTACTCACCCTCGTGTCATCAATATGTTCATGTCTTTCTTTCTTAAGTCGAAAAGGAATTACATTTTTGTATGTCTTGTGTCAGGGGCCATTCATATGTCACGCGTTTGCGCACTCAAGTTCCATATTTCAAATGTAGATGTGCAGCAAGTGTGCTCATAACATGAATTTTTTTCATGAAATATATGCACGCTATAGGTCAGCACGAACATCTTTCATTGCCACATGAGTAGGGGGAGCCCTTTGAAGCTGCACTAAAACTGCAATTTGGACCTTCAACCCACTGGCCACCATTGAAGTCCACTATATGTAGAAAAATCCTGGAATGTTTTCCTCAAAAACCTTAATTTCTTTGCGACTGAAGAAAGAAAGACATGAACATCTTGGATGACATGGGGGTGAGTAAATTACCAGGACATTTTCATTCTGGAAGTGAACGTATCATTTAAGACAAAAATTTTTACGAATTGCGTTCAGAGGTGAAGACATTTCTTGTTAATGTGAAGTCCGACCTTGCACGGTACCTGGATGACCCCCTGTGGTTAGCGCAGTTGTCGTACCTTGTAGACATTTTCGACAGGTTGAATTCACTGAACACATCGATGCAAGGGAGAGATGCCAACATCTTGCTCCTTTCAGACAAAGTCAGTGCATTCGTTGGCAAACTGGATCTTTGGCGTGATCGGCTGATTAATAAAAATGTTGACATGTTTCCCAACTTCGCCGACTGTGTGCAAGAGACGGATAAATAGCTCTCCTTTGATTAACACAGTCGCTCAACATGTTGAGGGACTAAAACAACAATTCGGCCGTTATTTCACTGAGGATTTCAGTTAATTTGATTGGGTCAGAGAATTTGCTTGCCCAGGAAAAGACCTTCCAGTTGACATGGGGGAGCAGTTAGTCGAATTAAAGAGCAACACTAGATTGCGACACCTCTACAGCTCTTCCTTTCTGCTGTCATTTTGGTTGAGCGTGATGCCTGAATATCCTCAGTTATCTGACGCCGCCGTAAAATTACTTCTTCCATTCGCCTCAACTTATCTGTGCGAGGCCGGGTTTTCAAAATTGACGGCTTTGAAAACAAAGTACCGAAATCGGCTCCAGGTGGAGGATGACCTGAGGCTTGCGCTGTCCAACATTGAACCGCGAATTGCGCTTCTTTGTAAAAAGCAGCAAGCACAAGTATCCCACTGATTGATTTAACGATGCCATGGCTAACGAGACGCAGACGTGCCCTGCGTCCCAATTTGCATAATATCCGCCCCCAAAATAGTATTGAATATTATTTAGGGCGGATAGTATGCGAATGCATACTAATTGTAGAATGCAACGAATGAATGAAATGCAACATGTTTTACATGTAAAATAATACTTGCACGTTATTTAGAGTTTACACATTACAACCTATAGGTTACTTTAAGTTCTCTTGTTCAAAGTAGTTACAATTTTCAGAAACATTCTTGATCATTTTTGGCCACGTTCCATAACTATCTAGCTATCTGTCCTTTTATATAGCTTTATAAAACTCATAAAAGTTATTTTAAAAATCATAAAAGTTATGAAAAAGTTTTTTTTTAAATACAACAACAACAAAAAAATCTATCTAAATAAAATATAGGATTTATATAGATATATTTTATCAAGTTAATCATTATTCCTGGTCTCCTTCAAATATATATATGGGGGGGGCTTTAGTTCCAAAAGGTTGAGAACCTCTGCTCTAGAGGGTCACCTAGGAGCACACCGCTCCCTCCTGAGCATCTTAGTCTCCCTCTCATCCTGAGAGTTGAGTTCTCCACTATATGGAGCTCCTTTGGGCAGCCATGTCAGGGGGTCAGGCCTTTCTCTGCCCATCGCCGGCCAATGTTATTGTATGCTTCAGACACCAGTCACGCTGAAGGCATTCCCCATAGTGACCTTTAGAGGACGCAGTGCCTCGTTCCCTTCTCAGGGAACCAGGGTTACATATGTAACTTGAGACATTTTCAAACTGGGCTCTGGGGAAATGTTTGAAGAAAAAGCTTTAAAAATGTAAAAATAAATAAAAAATAGTATATAATTGAAATAAATAGATGCCTTTTACATTTCAGAATGGGGGTCCGTCACACGAGGATGATCATATTTGGGGGTCTGTGGCATGTAAAAGATTGAAAACCCCTGAGATAAACAATTAGATCACTTCAAAACCTGCCATTATATTCCATAAGAAAATATTTTCGAACCTCCTAGACATTTTTTCAAGAATTGCACTAATAACATTCTTAAATGTCTTGAAATTTATTTACTAAGAACTTTTTTTGTTTAGAAGGTTTTAATGAATCCTGCCATTTTGAGAAGGTAAGGGTCTGTTTATATAATTATGTGTTTACCAGAAGAACATCTCAAGTTACAACTGTAACCATGGTTCCCTGAGAAGGGGAACTTGCACTGCGTCATGGTGGTGTCACTACCATGACGCTCCAGTGTGAGCTGATGTCTGAAGCACATGTGCTAAACGCCAACCTTGCTTGGCTGCTGCAACTTGATGACATCACAGGTGCGCCGGCTGGCTATATAAGGACGCCTAGTGACTACCTCATCAGCTTCATATTGTCTGAAGAAAGCCGAGTAGGCGTGCCAGATGTATGATAACCTGCTCTATATAGAGTACCTGTATTCAGAAGTTTAGAAAGTAAATTTTTGCTTCCCGTATGAAATGGGGAGAGGCCACGGGAGCGAGATACTCTCTCAACCATTATAGCTTCTATACAGGAGTGCAAATATACCCTAACATCTTCATGAGAGTGTGGTGAGAATGCAGCACGACTGCAGCTTCCACACTCTCCCTTCCCTCAATCACTAAGACATGACCTTAACCCTCTGGGGTCTGAGGGTGTTTTGGGGCCTTGGAGAAGTTTTGACATGCCCTGATATGTTGTGCTTTTTTCAGTTGCTTATAAACATTTTAATGGCTAAAGTTTGATAACACTGTAATCAGCACACATGCTGCTCACATATTATTGTAGCCCAGTTTATGTATGTGAT